AAAACATTTGACTGTGTGTATCACAACAAATTGTGGCTGATTCTGAAAAGAAAGAGAATCCCAGAACACTTGATTGTTCTCATGCAACATATACTGAGACCAGGAAGCAGTCCTCAGAACAGAGCAAGGAAACAGTATGGTTTGAAATCAGGAAAAGAGTGTGTCAGGGATACACCCTGTCTCCACACCTTTTCAGTCTGTATGCAGAACAGACCAGGAAGGTGTATTTTATAAGGATAAATGTGCCACCAGGATTGGAGGAAAACTCATCAACAACCTGAGTTATGTAGATGACACAACCTTGCTTGCTGAATGAAACTGAGGAGGACCGAAAGCATTTCCTGAAGAAGGTCAAGGACTGTAGTTTTCAATATGAAGAACATATGTACATCAAGAAGACAAAGGTTCTCACCACTTGGCAGCACCATGATGGACGGAGAAGAGACTGATGTTAACAATTATGGCTTGCTCAGCTCAACAACTCTTGGCACCAGCAGTCAGAAAATCAAAAGATAAATTGCATTGGAGAAGTCTGTTGTCAGGGACCTCTCCAGAGTACTGAAGAGCAGTGATGTCGGTCTAGAGACTAAGATGCACTTGATCCAGGCCATGGTCTTTACAGCTACTTGCTATGCATCAGAGATCTGGATAATGACTAAGAATGACGGAATAAGAATTTATCCCTTTGAGTTGTGGTGCTGGAGTAGAGTATTGAACATACCATGGGCCACCATGAAAACAAACAGGTCTGTCTTGGGAAGCTGAAACCAAGTTTCTCCTTGGATACAGGGAGTTTGAAGCTCTGTTTCACATACTTTGGGCACATGGACAGGGAGGGACCTTGGAGAAGGACATCATGCTTGGAAGGGAAGATGGACAGTCAAGGAAAGGAAGACCTTGGATGAGATGGATTGACACAGTAACTGGGTTAATGGGATTAGGTCTGTCAGAGTCTGTAAGACTGGCTCAGGATAGGGCAGAGTTCAGAGCTATTTTATTTAGGATTACTATGAGTCATAGGCGACTTGATGCCACATAACAATAAGTATAGAAGACAAGTATTGTAATGTGAAAGGATCTGAGTTAAAAAGCCAAATGGGAAGAATTGGCTCTGCTTTTGTCAAGCCAAAGGAACTTAGAAAAAAACAACAAAAAACAAATTACAGGCTTGGATTTCAATGCTGAAAGTTTCTTTGGACAAAATACTAAATAAGGGAGGAAGCATCGAAATCAGATGGCAGGAACACACAGACCTCGTTGACACTGCATGCTTACTTCCGGCCACGAGGCCCTTGCTGCTTGGAGAGACTATGCTGCGAGCATCACTTGCCCCTTGAAGGTGTGGATTCTGATCAGAAGGCTCATCAGATGGGAAAACATCACATCACTTCAGCTTCACCCCATGGAGGCAGCGTGATGAACGAGACCTTTGTGGATGGAAATGTACAAATTCAAGAGTGAAGCACCAGTTTTTTTATTTAAATGTGACAGCGCTCTTTAGTTACACATGTTGGGCCATAGAGTCACACTGTGTGGAGAACAAATACTAGACTGTGCTCACTGGCCTGGTGATAGGAACAAGTTAGCATTCTGTGCCTCAGTTTTCCTCATATGTGAAATGGGCTTTAGGATCATCCAGACTTACATTGTTATATGGGGAGCAAGTGTATCATGAATAGGCACCTAAGATTTGCAGAAAGTTTGGCAGTGCCAGCACTTAACGTGTGAGTGTGTGTGTGTGTGTGTGTGTGTTATGTGCTGGCTAGTTGTCTACAACTCATAAAGGCCCTGTATACAGCAGCTCTGACACCTGCCCTATCCTGAGCCAGTGTCACAGGCTCCAACACACCTACCCCTTTTTGCCCCAGTTACTATATTAATCCATTTCATCCGGGGTCTCCCTCTCCTGCACTGTCCCTCCACCCTTTTGAGCATGATGTCCTTCTCCAAGGACTGGTCCCTCCTGGTCATGTGCCCAAAATATGTGAGACAGAAGTTCAAAATTCTTGCCTCAAGAAAAAACTTGGTTTCGCCCTGTCCAAGACAGACCAATTTGGTTTTTTTGGGGTTTTTTTGTTAGTTCAAGGTGTGTTCATGGCTCTTCTCCAGCACCACAATTTAAAGGCAACAGTTATTCTTCTGTCATCCCTAGTCATTGTCTAGCTCTCTGATGGATATCAAGTAATTGTGAAGCTCCTGGATTAGGCACACCTTAGTCTCTAGGCTGACATTGTTGCTCTTCAGTACTCTAGAGAGATCGCTGACAGCAGACATTCCAATTGCCATTCATCTTTTGATTTCTAGACTGCTGGTGTTAACAGTGTTGGTAGTGGAGCTGAGCAAATTGTAATGATTAACAACCTTAGTCTCTTCTCCATCTATCATGGTGCTGCCAATTGGTCCTGCAGTGAACAGCTTTGTCTTCTTGATGTTGAGCTTTAATCCATATTGAAGAAAGTCCTTGACCTTCAGGAAATGCTTCAGGTCCTCCTCAGGTTCAGCAAGCATGGTTGTGACATCTCCATAACACAGGCTGTTGATGAGTCTTCCTCCAATCCTGATGCCACATTCCTCCTCATAAAGCCCAGCTTCCCGAATGATCTGGTCTGCATACAGATGGAAAGGTCTGGAGACAGGATGCATCCCTGATGCGCTCCTTTCCGATTTTGAACCATGCAGTGTTTCCCTGCTCTGTCTTGAGGACAGCTTGCGTAATTCTTACTATGAGTTACTGTCAAACAATGAAACACATACAATGCAGTTACTCAAATACGAACAGCCTGAGTCTGCTAAGAGACTATTTTTAAAATGTTCACAAGTTGTAGGCCACAGGCACCAATCAGAAGAGAGACTGGCATTTGAGCCCAGACTCGGGCTGGCAGATCTGAAGGCAGGCAGCTGGCAGAGGCTGAGGCCAGCAGAACGTGGCCCCGGCTTTTGGTGTGATGTCAGTCCCCGCGTCCACTACGGCTGCCTGGACACAACCCAGCTGGTGGTTTATTCATGCGTGTGTCTGATCGTAGTAATGTGTTCCAGTGACTTTGAAGTTATTTAGGGCAGTGATACGTGAGCTGTTTTCTTTAAATTCCTAAAAGCCCACTGATGCTTTGCATTGACAGTTCAGTCACTTGCATTGCACTGCCCGACTCCGAGTTCCATGGAAGCTCCCTGTTGACGGCTTGGCTGGGTCAGCAGGGAGAGGGCAGTGGTCCTCAGCGGGAAGCAGTGGGAGGAGCACTGAGCTTCGAGTGAGTCTGTGACTGGCTCCTTTGTTTGACAGACCATTACTGAGTATGTGGCTTTGAGAGTTGCCAGGGTGCCCATACATGTTGTAGACAACACGCTCGGCTGCTAACAGAGAGGTCAGTGTTTCAGGTCCACCCTGAGGTGCCCTGGGAGAAAGACCTGGCTCCCCACATCCAAAATGTTACCCATTGAAGAGCATGTGGAGCCCAGTTCTGCTCTGACATTTGGGGTCGCCATGAGTTGGACTTGATGCAGGTGAACTTGCAGAGCATTCGGTCTGGGATGGGTGATGGTGCACATGGTCCAGGGCCACACTGGACAGGCCTGCCGTGGAGCTGTCCGCACACAGGAGACGAAGTAGACAGTCTTGAGACAGAGTTGAGGAACACTGGGGTGGGGCCTTGATGGCCAGGTGGCTACTTGGCAGGGAGATCACAAAGGCCAGCTGACATTTGGAATTCTAAACGTGAAGTATGACGTTGGGGACAACGGACCTTAGAGGTTGCACTCCAGTCTCTCTGGGCAGCAGGCCACTGAGCCGCCCAAGGACTGGACACAGAACAGTAAGAAGCATCCCTTGACTAAGGAGCCCCCTGGGGCCTGCTTAGTTGATATCAACACAGCTTTGACTGAATTGTCAAATACCAGAGCTTCAAACGTTTAACCTCATCCTAGGATATGTGATGTTGTTGGTATATACTGCTCTCAAGTCAGAACTGACCCGTAGCTGACCCTCCAGCGGGTTTTCAGAGGCAGTTAATTGCACAGGAGGAGATCACCCATCTTTCTCCCATGGAGCAGCTGGTGGATTCGAACCTCATACATTTGCAATGGCGGCATGATCCCTTACCACTAAGCCACTGGCCACAAGATTTACCCTGTACTTGCGTTATACCTGCAGTGATCATGTGATTCCCTTACTGCTACCGTCTTAATTCTCGTGATCAGCTTCATTGCTTTTTATATTTATTTGTTTCTAATCATCATTTTCTTAGCTTTCTCTGCAAGTTTGGCCTGAAAACATGTATCTTAACACTTGGTTATGTTAGGTTGATGTTCTGTGTAACCGAAGTTGAGCTTTTTAAGTCTTAAGGTTTAACTAATATTTAGAGAGGTGTGTGATTTACGTATTTATAAATTCTTTATGCTATTTCTAGATAATTAAACGCATATTTGTGCTTATATAAATTATTAAAGTAAATTTATATTTGCATATAACAGTGCTTATAAATAATACCATTTGTACTTATGAAAAAACCACGCCCCTTGCCATTGAGTTTATTCCACTGCACGGCTCTGTGTGTCACAGAACAGGACAAACGTGCATGTGGGCCTCTGGCTGTAACCTTCATGGGCAGATCCATGGTGGCATCCACAGTGGTGCAGCTGCTGACCAAGAAGTTAGCCGTTTAAACCCACCAGTTGCTTGGAGGGAGACAGATGTGGCAATTTGCTCAAGTAAAGTTTCACAGCTTTATAAACCTCTAGCACAGTTCACACTGGTGGCATTGTGCTGAGGATCTATGCTGCCCACCTGAAGGCAGGCGGTTTGAACCCACGAGCCGCTCAGAGGGAGAGAGGTGGCCAGTCTCCTGTGATCCGCTGTGAGTCCGTTCTGACTTGACTGTTCTCGATAGTGCATCTCTCAGGCAGGGAGCATCATAGCTCAGGTTGACGTTTATTCCCTGGTGAGGCAGCGCTGTCACTCTCTGTCCTCGCTTGTTGGCTGACTCTGTCTCTCCGTTTGCCTTTAGATATATGCAAAAAACCTGGTGAATGCCGACCGCTGTGCCCTCTTCCAGGTGGACCATAAGAACAAGGAGCTGTACTCGGACCTTTTTGATATTGGTGAGGAGAAAGAGGGAAAACCCGTCTTCAAGAAGACCAAAGAAATCAGGTACGGACGGCAGTGAGTGCAGGGCCTGGTCCAGAAGCACAGGGGCCCTGCCCCAAAATGCTGTGCCCGCCCGCAGGACCCCGCCATCCCTGTTACGCTGTGTCACTGCCGCAGTGAGTGAGGAAATGGCATCGCGGGGAACCTGTGCGGCACTCGGGATGACTGTCCTCTGGAAGTGATCCTTCTGGAAATCCTTGCTGGAAAATCTTGCTAGTGCTCCCTGCTGGGTAAAGGGCATGCTCCTCCTGACCCCACAGGTGCCTCAGGTCCTGAGCCAGGGCGTCCTTGACCAGTGTGGTCCATCCTCTGCCCTGTGCACAGAGCCCAGGCCGCCTGGAACCCTTCAGGCTGAGACTCAGGGTGACCGCAGGCTCTCAGCACGTGGATGTCATAGCGGGCCACCCCACTGCCCCCACAGTGTGACTGAGGGTTCAAACTGTTGACCTTGCGGTTATCAGCTTCACTGTACCCCACTGCACCCCAAGGGCTTCCAACAAGGAAGAGGTCTCAAAGACCCGACTTCACGAAAGTGGAGCTGCACCCTTGTCCCACCGCTGGCCAGCTGGTCACATGTCTGCACTTGAAATGAAGCTGTGGACTCTTGCACAGATTGGAGGGGTTTTGCTGGTGGAGATGGGGTGGCTCAGTTACCTGCAGTCTGCGCACCTGCAGGGCCCCTGGTACAGAACTGTGAAGATCCCAGCTTTACACCCAGAAATCGTCTTCTGGGTTTTTAATGTTTAGTACGCTTCACAGCGCAGGAGGAGAAGACCCTCTATGAGGTGGACTGATTCAGTGACTGGGGTAATCGGGATGGGTGTGTCAGAGACAATGTGATTGGCACAGGATAGAGCACGCTTTAGGGCTGTTGTGCATAGGGTCGCTATGAGTCGCAAACGACTCGACGGCACATAACAACAACAACAACAGTACACTTCCATTCCTCTTGCTTTGTTTTAGCTCCTTTCCCCACTTAGGGCTCCAAGGACAATCGCAGCATCTAATCAAACAGCTTACCTGGTGGGTCAACCGCTGTGTGTCTGCACAGCCAGTTACCGCCTCATTTAAGACGATAGAGTGAAGCCCCAGTCTGACCTCACTGCTGCCTGCACAGCACCCGCACACCTCA